TCCCCTCTTTCCCCTGCAGCTCCCTTCCTCATGTGGCTCCAGCCTACGTGGCCCCTTCCATCACGCTGGCCTCAAGGGTGTGGACAGCATGCTACCAGACGCAGTCCCAGGCTCTGGTATCAGCTTCCAGACCTGAAGCTCTGAGGTCTGGCTTAGGCGTCGGGTCCTGGGCTGCCAGTCCTGGGGCTTATCTTCAGGTTCGGGGACCCACACTCTGCTTCTGCATCAGCTCTAGGCCCTGCACTCTAAACTCTCAGGTCTCAGCTCTGGGTTCTGGTCTCCTGGCTCTTGCTTTAGGCTTTGGATGTCAAGCTTGGGGTGCTGGTTCTAGGTTCTGGGCCCCAGTCTCCAATTTCAGATTCCAAACTCCAGGTTCTGAGCCTCAGGCTCTTGGCTCCAGGTTCTGGCTCCAGGCTCCCAGCTCTAGTTCCACACTCCAGGATCCAGGTCACAGTCTGGGTTCCAGGTTCCTTCAGCCCCGTGGCAATGGGATAGGAACATGGTGGCCTCCCTGGCTAGTGGGGTCTTCCCCACCCACCTATCTGAGCTGGCCAGAACATCCTTCTGACAGTCAGCACCCTAGGCTGGCCTGAAGGTCAGTGCTGCTTCCATGGCAATACTCCCTGTGCTTTCTGTCCCTTATCTAACCCCGGATCTCTGGAGACAGGTGCTAAGATGGTCACAGAGCACCCCTCACCCTGCAGTTTGCACAAGCCACATAGACACAGTCATGTTCCCAGCTCTTCCTGGGCCCTACCAGAACCATCGAGGATGTGAATGGCGCCCCCTGGAGTTGTGCAGCCCATGGCCCTGTGCCCAGTCTGAGCCACGTCAGGCTCGATGTAACCAACCATGTGTGTTCCTACAGACCTGGGCCTTTGTTTCCCTGTGGAAGCTGAAGTCCAGCTTCTATACCCCCTCAGAAGCCTGGGTCACCTGACTACCAGGCCAGATCCCCCACAGAGTGCACATTGTGCTCATTTTGGGGATAGGGGTGGCTGCCCCAGGGTGCACTGGCCCACTGCCCCACTGCTGCATTAGCACTTCTAGCAAGGGCTCTAGGTGAGCAGCCGGCACCACCCTGGGGAGCAGCACTCCCCCGACCCTGGCCCAGAACAGAGGTCACTGTGTGCCCAACTTGTACCATACCCCTCCCCAACCCCAAGACAGTTGGCAAAGGTGGAGAGGACAAGTGACAGGTAGCAAAATTGTCTCTCGGAGGCGTGGGCCCCATGGGTGTCCTTGAGGACGTTGCACCCACTCTCTTAGCCTGTGTCCTCTGTAAAATGTGGTGTGTTGGCAGGACGCAGAGCAGTCCTGTGTGTGTTCTCTCCCTTCCTTCGTGCTGTGCGCTGGGTGGACAGGGCCAGCTCCTGTCATGGTGTCTCGTCTTGTGGGGTGAGAGGGAGCAGCTCTACCACCTTCCCAGCCACCCAGGAGTCAGCTCTGGGCAGTGGCTACAAAACATGGCCCCGTGGGCTGACCAGCTGGTGCCCCTCGCTCCTGCCTCCGGTCTCGGCGGGGAGGCTGTGGGCCTGGGCCCCTGTCCCTGCAGATGGGGCTCAGCCAGGCTGGGATGGTGAGGGCCCAGGGCCTTGAAGGATTCTGGGAACACTAAAAGTGGGAGGAGGGAGCGCAGGACTGCTTCAGGGGATGTGCTGGGGAGGGAGTCACAGAGGGGATCATGGCAGAGGGGCACACCCGGCCAACCAAAGTGGGCTGAGGCAGGTGGTGGGCTCAAGCCCCCAAAGGAAGGACTGGGCTCTACCGAGGGACGGTGGGCCAGCAGGGGCAAAGAAGGGTTCTTGGGGAGTTCTTTGTATTGTTATAATTATTT